CTTTATCAGAAACAAAACAAAAAAATCGATGAGACACCACGGGCTGGGGGGGCTCCGATCTCCATCTCTCCAGTACTCTCCAATCTCCAGCGTCGCTACATCTTGGGCCGGATCCAGTCAGATCTCCGATCTCCATCTCCAATCTCCAATCTCCAATCTCGATTCGGGGGCCCGGGGGAGGAGGGGCGGAGGGGGGCTCAAACCTTCAAGGAGATGCGCTATGGATTCATTCACAATGCAAAAGGATCTCCACCCTCTTTTCGCGCCATTTAGCAATCTCCAGGCAATCTCCAGTCGGCCCACACGATCTCTAGCGTCTAGGCGCCTTTGGCGCGAAGTCAGAATCTCCACTTCTGTCGCAAGATCTCAAGCGACTGCACGCACCAACTCGACATCTCAGACTCCTCTCACATCTACACCGGAGAAGATTTGCCTCCACCAGTTCTTCAATCTACTGCTGCTCTTGGCAGGAGATTTGCCACTTATGAGATCTCTAAAAGGCATCTACGATCTACAGTCCAAGGATCTTCCGATGTTGGGTAGAGATGTCCATGTATGTTACGTTTTCGCTCGGCGCCCCCGCCGCGCGGCGCCGGCCCCGGGCCCCCGGCCCCCAGACCGCGCACATCCCTGGTGTGGGCGGTTTTTTTCGCGGCATCCGCGGCGGGATATGGCGGGATATGGCGGGAGATGGCGGGATACCGGGAGATACCGGGCGGGATGCCGGGAGATACCGGGAGATACCGGGAGATACCGGGAGATACGAGATACGGGCGGATACGGGCAGATACGGGCAGATACGGGGAGATACGGGGAGACGCGATGAGATGCAAGGAGATACGGGGAGATACGGTCAGATATTGCAGAGATACATCAAGATACCGCAAAAAAACCGTCCGCACTAGGGCTGCGCACCGGCGCACGCCCCGGCGGCGCGCGCGGGGGGCGCCCGGCGCGCGCACACCCGCGCGCACTCTCCGGTCTCCTCACACGAGTAGACCGGAGGGAACGAAGCCTTTCCACCAAAGCCTTTCCACCAAGAGGGGCTGGATTCTTTATAGAGCCGTATCGTGTGTCAACACAATAAATATAAGAGCCACTAAATATGTGTCTAAAGGCGAACACGCGCGCGTGGACCGGCGCCTACAGTCGTCGGCGAACGGGCCCTCAAATATAACACGCAGAGAGTCGTCGGCAGCGCGAGTGGACTATGCGCGTGCGGCGTGCGCGCGCGGAACGATCTCGCAGACGCAATGAGCCTAGTGCGGCGGGACGGTGCTCTCGCG